TACTGGGCCTGGGCCGCTGGGGGCTGATATCCAGGTTGAGGTCGATCCTCCGCCGGGCCTCGCGATTCTCCTGCTTCAGCTTTGCTTCCAGGCGGGACAGCTTCTGCTCCAGGGAGGACGCCGCCATCTTCCCCGCCGCCGCCGCGCACCGCCCGGCCGCCCGTCAGTCCGGCAGACAAACACCGCACTGCGCCTGCGCTTGGATGACCCCACCGAGCCGCCGTCTCTCCCTGCACGGCGCATGCCCGCGGCGCGCACTCGCCCATCCCGCGTGCCTACCCTCCGCGCATGCGTGCTTCTTCCCAGTGGGAGGGGTGACGCCACCTAGAGCTCGCGTCTGGCAACGTGCAAATCCTCTCACTGTGCTGCGCACGCGCGGATTCCGAGCGCACTCTCGAGAGGCGCTGTGTTGAAATCCATTCACTGTTCTGTAGAGAAGGGCGGGCGGGGAAAACGGCGCGCCTGCGTACAGAGGGGTAGACGCGATGCCGCGCGTGGCCCTTGGTGCGCATGCGCAACATTGGCTCGCTGTTCTGCCGCTGTTACTGGGAGTAGCTCCTCGTTTTCGCTGTTCCCCGCCCGGCCTGTTCTCTGGCATCCACGCTCCCTCCCAGCTGCCTTTCTCGTCTGGGACAGTGCTTCATTAGGATCCCTGTTAGGCTTAATTGCTGCCTCCTCACCATAATTAGGCGCCCGTGGGGAGCCCTTTCTATTTCAGCAAGCTCGGGCTTGACCAAGGACTGGCGGGAGGGGCGGGGTAGGGCTCCGTCACTGTAGGGGCCCTAGGACTAGCGGCATGGGGGGCCCCTGATCTCGACCACAGGGCCAGGGTCATGGCCAGAAGAGTTCCAGGTCAGACCCAGATGGGATATTTTAAGACTTTCCCTCATCTTCCTTCCCCGGAATGTGAGCCCAGCTCCTGGACAGTGCAGGAGACGCGCCTTGGTGTTAATGCGCCTCGGCCTGTCTTCCCCGCCGCTTAACTGGTCTGATGGGTGCCGGGGAAAATGTCCGCAACTGGAATCCTGGTTTTCGGAAAGCAGCTTGCCTCTGCTCTCGTTGCCAGGAAGAGGCTCGCCTTTTGCAGACACCTCGAGGTGTCCAGTCCCAGGAGGTCAGGGTCAGTCAGGCTGTGCCCTACCTGCTCCTGGTCCAGCACAGGAACACTGGTGGGCGCTGAAGGCTTGTGGGGACTTCTGTGGTGACAACTTATGGTGGAACAGATACAAGAGAGTGGAGTTTGGAGAATTAACAAGGAATGTAGAGGAAAAGGGGTTCTCCAGAAAAAAGCTGGGCAGAGGATGCCACCTAATTTCTCCTGATAAGCTGAGGTCTCCCTGCCTCTGCTTCCGGGACAGAAACTCATAGCCTTGATTCTGGCACGTGAGTGTCTTTGCTTGCCTGTAATTGGTCTGGTGAAATGGAAGGCTTAGACAACAGAAGTGGATAGCAGAGATCAGAAGTTTAGTTCTCATAATTCATATTATTTATTAAGCACCCACTGATAGATGCTCCCTCACGCAGGGAACACTTGAGAGACAAGTCTCTGCCTGTGCTCAGAAGAATGTAACCTCCACAGCAGGCGTTCTTAACCCTGGAGTCTGCCATCCTTAGGATGTCCACGAGTGGCCCTCTGGGACATCTGGGGGAATCTGTTGACTGCCTGAAGTTGCTTGTGGACATTTGCGTGTATGTGTACCTGAGCATTTTCCTGGGAAAGGAGGTGCCCAGCTTTTATCAGATGTTCAAAAGTTCTAGGACTTAAAAAGGGTTCAGAATCCCTGCTCTGGACATCCAGATTCTGTAGGTCCATAGTTCCCAACATACAGGCCTAGGACCACCTGCATCAGAGTTACCTGGGATGTTTATTTATAGGCAGGTTCCTGGCCTCCAACCAGACCTGAGTCAGTCTTTCAGGGGTGGGGCCTGGGATGTTTTGTTTTGGGGATGTTGATTTTGATGCATAGCCAAATATGAGAACCACTTTTCTGAGTTCACGTGTCTGTAGCAAACAACTTATAAATAAGGGATTGACATCAAAGTTGGGGGCGAGGGTCGCTGGTCCCTTGTGTCTGTGTCCCCTCCCTGGGAGAGAATCCCAGAGATAAGCTGTTTTGGTCGGGGCTGGCGGGGGGGGGGGTAGTGTGTGTGGAGAGGGTTGAAATCCCATTGGGATGTGCCCCACCCCCATATATGGCACTAATTGAGCTAGAATGTCCAGGGGCAGGGCAGGACAGCCCGCCAAAGACACAGGTATCTTTGGTCTGAGAATCCTATGACTGAGTTAATCCCTCTATGATGTTCCACCCCAAATCCACAGCCTCCTGTCTCTTCTCAGACAGACCAGTCCCAGGATCCTGCCTGGACCCCACAAGGTTGATGTGTCTGCTCCTCCTCTCCTGGCCCGGGCCCTCTTGGCCACCTCTCTTGAAGACAACAGTAGAGGTTCTGGGGTGGAAGCATCCAGAAGGCCTCTTACCCCAACCTTCCCCACCTCTGCTTTATTCCTCCTCCAGCTTCTCCCGCACCTCTGCCGGCAGGCCCTCGTAAAGGGTGTCCTCCACCAGGAGCCCCGCTTTCTTGAGTCCCACACAGTTGCCAAGCTCTTCTGGCAGGGCCTCCAAGCGGTTGCCCTTGAGCTCCAGGCGGCTGAGGGCTCTGAGGGCCCCCACCTGGGGCGAGAGCTGGCTCAGGTGATTGTAGCCCAGGAGCAACGTCCGCAGCTTGCGGCAGAAGAAGAGCTCGTCGGGCAGGGCCTCCAGGGCATTGTAGGACAGAGCCAGGTGCTGCAGGTTCTGGAGGAGGCCCAGCTCGGGTGGCAGGGAGCGGAGCCCATTGTGGGAGATGTCCAGCAGGCGGAGGCCGGAGCACATGCCCAGCTGGCTGGGCAGGGTCTCCAGCTTGTTGTGGCTGAGGTAGAGCTGCTCAAGTCCCCGGAGCTTACGCACGTGCTCGGGGACGTAGGCGATCTGGTTGTGCCACAGCCTGAGCGTGACCAGCTTGCGACAGTGCTGGAAGCTGAGGATCTCCTCAATGGACCGCAAGTGGTTGTCCTTGAGGTCGAGTTCCTGCAGCGCGCCCAGGCTGAAGATGGCATGGGGGATGCGCTCCAGCCCGCAGGCCACCAGCTCGAGCTCCCGCAGCACCGCCAGCTTCTTGAGGCTGTTAAGGGCCAGCAGGCGGGCTCCATCGTTGTGCAGACTGAGCCGCTGCAGATGCCCGGCCACATCAGTCACGCTGGCTGGCACCTTGGTGGCATTGCTCCGCAGAGACAGCACCTTGAGCTGCTTCAGCTCCCGGAGGCTTTCGAGGGTCGCCGCCCGAGCCAGCTCTGGGGGGAAGAGCCCCTCCAGGTGCAGCTCCTCCAGGCCCCGCAGCCCGAACACCCACAGGGGCACCTCGCGGAGCTCCTCGCACTTGACGCGGATGACCTTCAGGCGGTCCCGCAGAAAGATCTGCAGGGAGAAGGGCAGCCTGGCGGGTGAGTGGAGCAGGCTGAGCTCCTGCAGGTTCACCAGCTGTGAGAGGCCTGGGGGGAAAGTGATATCACAGATGGCCTCCAGCCGGAGCGCCTCCACCTCGCTGAGCTCGAAGACAGTGTCGGGCAGCCCCGGGAGCATGCAGAGGGTCAGCTCGAGCTGGCCCCGGGCGTTGCGCTGCAGCTTCTGCCGCAGCTTCTCAGGCGTCCACTCGTGGTTCAGGTTGAGCTGCTTCAGGCGGCTCTCACTGACTTCAGAGAGGAAGACGGCGAAGCGCTTGGAGTAGAGCGAGTCATACTGGTCGATGAGGTGTAGCATGAAAGCAAAGTCATTCTTGACATCCGGTATGTCACCCATGCCGGTCTCCTCCCGCACTGAACGGAAGGAGTACTCCTTGAGGGGCCGATGGAAGAGCCAGTAGAGGGTGTAAAGACAGGTTAGGCCGTAGACGCACACAAAGGAGATGTAGCAGAAAGCCAGCTTGGAGAAGAGGTGGGCCTTGGTGTGATTGCAGCAGAAGCTGGCGTAGCCTGTGACCTCCGAGGTCTCTACCCTGCAGGCCACCAGGAAACTGATGTTCTCCACGTAGACCAGGTTGTAGACCAGGATGGCAAAGAACTTGCAGACTTTGAGCACCGTTTGCCGGATGTACATGGTATACAAGATGTCTCCCTCCTCCACGTGCATGCGGAACTTCTTGACCTTCTCAAACAGGGCTTTGGCCTGTTCACCCTCCTTCTTATCCAATAGGGTGACGGCCGGTGGCTCAGTGACCACCTTCTCAGGCTCCACCAGCACCTTTTCCTTTTCACCCTCACTTGCTTTCCCTGGCCCTGCGGAGGCCTCCATGGTCGCTGTCGCCCGTCGCGCGGCGGCGCCCTTGTGGTTCTCCCCAGAGACCTCGGACAGGGCCCGCGTGGTCCACGGTGAGTCGAAACACTTGCCCAGAATGGAGGTGAAGTGCTCGATCTTCGAGCTGGTGCCAGGGAACTTGAACCAGAAGCTGGTGCAGACCATGAACATGAGCGTGTGAATGACGACCAAGTAGGGGAAGTACTTGGCATACCAGTGGAGGGCTGTCTCGTAGCAGAGCTGGTTAATGAAGCTATACTGCTGTAGGTCCAGGTCGTTCTTGAGGCCGCTGACCTCCCGGAGGCCCCCCATCTCCTTGGAGACCCCCCGTGGCAGCAGTTGCTGGCATGGGGCCTCTGATAAATTCTCCCGGAGTTCATGACTGGGCAGACAGATGATCTTGTCCTGGGTCACCTGGGAATGAGGGTGGGGGAAGAGGGTCAAGGAGCTGGCTCGGCCTGCATAGTTGGGGGGGGAGGAGAGGCGGGCTGAAGGTGGGAGGAGGCCCCAGTCCCTGACTGTCCTGAGCCGGCTGTGGTTTTGGAAGAATCGCTAAACCTCTGGCAGCACCTCATTCTTTGAAAAAAGGAGTTAGCTTGAATGGGATCCGCCCGCTCTCCCCCGCTCCCTGCCCCCGCAAAAGATACTGAAGTCCTAATCCTTAATACCTATGAATGGATAGTCTTTGCAGAGCAGACGTGATCAAGTTAAGGTGAGGTCATTAAAGTGGGCCCTAATTCAGTATGACTGTGTCCTTTGGACATAGACACACACACACACTGAGGAAAGTTGAGCGAACGTCATCTATAAACCAAGGAATGCCTGAGGCCACCGAGGAGCCGGGAAGGAGAAAGGCATGGAACCAACGCTCCCT